CCTTCAGACCCGTGTGCAAAACTGGAAGTCTTCCTTTGCCTCTGTAACCTTCTTTACTGTCTTCTCCAGAATCAGCCCCCAGAGCCTGTCAGGCACAGTTCCTGTCTGCCTTCATACATGAGGATGCTCTGCACTGTGGGAGAGGCAGGGGAGGCACTAGGATACACTGAACACAAGGCATGCATGGGAAGGGGTGGACAAACTACCAAAACCCCAGAGAAAACAGCTCAAATCTGATTTATTTTTTCCCAAAACCTGGAAAAAGAAGTGCAGGATCATCAAGGGAGCTCCCACTTTCCTGCCAATGTCAGGACCAGGTGAGGGGCTGAGGATGCATTAAGCTGGACCCCTCCCAAGAGCATCCTTACCTGGGAGCTGCATCATCCCTAGGGAGCTCCCTTGGGCCCTGCTTGGATGGGAATGCTTCTGTCAGCTCTGGAGCCACAGCTGTATCCTGAAACAGAGGTATCCTGAAACAAATGCTAATTGTTCCATTTAAGGACAGAACTTGGATACTTATCAGCACACCGTGGCAGCCCTAATGATTTTCCCAGGATGGCTGGGAATGGGGGTAGTGGAGCTGGGGAGGGCTCCTGCTGCTGGCATCTGCCCTGAGAGGGGAGATTTGTGTCTGTGCTGCTTTCAGGGAAAGGGAAAATGTGCTTTGGACTCCCCTGGGCTTTCGTTACAGCTCCTCGAGGGATGGAGCAGAGGTGTGGAGGTCCCCAGGGACCCCAGTGCCCCATAGCAGGAGTGCAAGAGCTGGCCCAGTGACACCCCCCCACCACCACCTTCCCCCACTGTGATTGGCTGTCTTAGGGGATCCCAAAAGGAGCTGGGGCCAGGCTGAGACAGCACAACCTCACAGGCAGCCCGAGCCTGAGATATTCCCAGCGGGCTGGGCTGAGGACATTGAGTGAGGAAACTGGGGGCTGCATGGCCCTGCAAAACCACCCAAATATGGCAAACAACTGAACCCAGAGCTTGGCTGGGCTGTGGGTGCCCTTCAAGGAACTCAGACAAGAGGCAAGCAGAGTTGTTTCCCCTGGATCCCCAAGGCTGAGCCAGGCTGGATACTCTGCATCTGATACCACCCTCACTGCTTCTGCAGCTCACAGGGATTTTCTCAAGGCTGGAGGAAAAAACCTTATGGAAGCTGCAAAGTCATGAAGAGCAGCAACACAAGATGGCAATATGGAGCTCTAGTTGCACCTAATGCCCTCAAACCCACCCAATAGAGCATGCTTCCAAAACCTGGCAGGTGCTGGAAACACTTACAGCACGCATGGGAATCCCTGGGGCTGGGTCTCAACTCTGCTAGAGGGGTTTGCACCTGGAAACACCAGCTGAGGGCACTGGGAGCCCCTGCTCTGCTTGGGGGGATCCCCTTGGTGACCACGCTGTTGGGGAGGTGAGGTACCCCAAATCACCCTGTAAGCAACAGCCGCTTCCTCCATTACCAGCCAGCGCTGCCAGCACACTGGGGAAGAAAGGAATTTCTGTGTAAATCCCATTTACTGTCGGGTTTCTCACTTCCCGCCCAGCAGACAATCCCAGCCCTCAGTGCAGCACTGTATGAAGGGGCAGTTTAATGTATTTTTGGAAGGAGAGGAAAAAAAAAGCCCTCTCTGAAAAGAGCCTCTTTCAGCTAATAATGAAGTGAATATTATATTAAGAGTGAAAACATTCAGGGGAACTTACAGAGGGAGACAGAAAACCTTTTCATAACATCCTGGCCACAAACACAACTGCCAATTAAACCAGCTTCGCTCTCTGGCTGGTGCCAACACAAACGAGGGGCCAGGAGCAGAGCATGGAGCTGGCGCGTTCTGTGCCCGGCTGGGCTTTCCTGCCACTGGCAGCACAAAGGGGTTTCTGCTTCCATGACTTTCAGGGCCAACCATTGGAACAAAAAGATCTGAGTCCCTTGTCCTTACCTCGGGGAATGGGTGCCCAGTGAGGCAAGGGACTCTGGTGCCATGGAGGTCTTTGGTCCTTGTCCCAACCCAGGGGCTCCAGTGCCATGGGAGTTCCTGGTTCCTGTCCCAGCCCAGAAGAACAGGGTGCCCAGTGACTCAAGGGGCTCCAGAATCCCAGGGAGTCCTCTGCCCCCAAACCAATCCAGAGGATCCAGTGCCACAGGGGCCCTTGGTCCCCACCTGCAGCCTTCTCTCTGCCCTGTCAGCAGCACAGGGATGGCAGGAGCCTGAGCCCCCAAGTCCCTGGGATCAGCAGGATTGCTCCTGGCCCAGGGGAGGGTGCTGAGCAGCCACCCAGACTGAGCTGACAGGACCAGCACCCCCACGTGTGCCAGGAAGGTTTGGAGAGGTGCTGCGTTTCCCACTGCAGCACCTTGTGCCTTGGAGGAAACACAACAGGAGATTATGTGCCTTGCAGCACAACAGGGGGTGCCACAACGTGGAGCACCTTCCAGCATTCCTATTTCACATGCCCTGGATGCCTCAACACAGGTTTAGCACGGCCATTTCATGTGTTTTGGTTGCTTGCCAGTGGTCTCAGCTCACCCTTGTCCCTGGCAGAGCACATCCCACACCGTAGGGGACACAAGGTCACCCACCCACACTCCCTAGGGTTTCTGCACCAGCTGCCAGTGGAGGGAACAGGCACGGAGTGGGATCTCAGTGCCCTTATGTGTTCTTGGGAGTCAGTGGTGCGCAGGGGAGGACAACATGATGGGAGATGCTCAGGTGACACACAGGGGTTGTGATTCACACTTCAAAGAGGCTTTATCTTTGCAGCCCAAGGAACTGCTGGATTGATGGGTTGAGGGTGCATGACATTTCAGGTTTGGATAAACAGCCATGCCAGGAAAACTTCACCTGAGATCAAATAATCTTGGAATTTAGCAAATTTAGCACAGCTGCAGAGCTGCAGGTTGACATTTGATAAACCCAAACTGGAAATACAAGACCACTGCTGAGCTGGGACCAACCTTTGGAACAGCTTCTCCAGGGAACACACTGAAGATGTTTGTCAGAAACTGTTTCATGGAGTGGGGAAGGGGAGACATTTTGGCCAAAATTAAAAATTCCAGTAGGAAACTTTTCTCCAATTTGGTGGTTTTTGACTATCACCCTGGAAGTGTGGCTCTCTGTAGAGATTTTTGTCTCTTTTGCTCAAGGACTAGCATTTCTACTTTAATGCCAAGTCAAGATCCGAACACACCACTGATTTTGCCCAGAGGCTAAGAGATTGTATTTCCTTCTTTAATAACAAAAAAGGAAGGAAGGGAGAAAGGAGGGGGAAAAAAGGAAGAAAAAGGGGGGGAAAAACAGGAAAAAAAAAAAAGAGAAAAAAAAAGTAGTTTTTGGACATAATTTGGTAAAGAAAAATGCACTTCAGCAAGATCTACCTCACCATGGGAAGTCTCCAATAGCAACAAACTGCCTATCAACAGACCCTGGGTGAAGAACAATTAACGGGCACGGCCTGGGTGGCAGGGAAGGGTGGCTGCTGCTCCTGCAGTGTGCGCTCCTGGCAGCAGGACTGGAGTGAATCTTCCAGAGGCTTGGAAAGCTCCTCACTGTGCCACAGCAGTTACACCACTCCTACACTTCAGATGTAGCATATGAAATGTCTTCCTCAGTGGGCTCCCCACAATTTGGGGTCCAGGAGATCCTGCCTTTCCAAGGTGATTGGTGGACAGGGATGTGCCAAGCTCCCACTCACGGATCCAGCTGCCCACGGCCATTTGACCCATGGGCTGGCAGGGAAGTGCCAGCATGGCCCATGGTAGGGAATTCCAGGGAAGCACAGCTGTCCCATTCTGGAAAACTTGCCTTGTTTATGTCTTCAGAACTATCATATCCCAGGAACCACAAAGTTCTCTGCTTCTTGTAGGGAAGAGGCATCAACTCCCAATCAAATGTATGTAGAGAAAGACAGCTATCCAGATTTAAAGGCCATCAGAAAGGAGTCCCAAACACCGCTGGGAAGGAGGCATTGCCATCTAGTGTCAGGCTAGGAAAGGGGTCAGGGACACACTGGCCCTGCAGCAGGAGCTGAACTGGATAATCCCAGTGGGTCCCTTCAGCTTAGGATATTCCACGCTTCTACAATTCTCCTCTTAGTGCCAGCCCAACCTCTACTGACTGGAGATATGGTTTTAGACCCTTCTGCAAAAGAGCAAGGCCAAGAAGATGGACAGACAAGGCCACCTGTGATGCATGAATAGCTGGGAAGCCCTGGCTGATATGGCTGTGGAAGTCAGAATCACAGAATGGTTTGGGTTGGGAGGGATCTTAAAGCTCATCTTGTTCCACCCCCTGCCATGGGCAGAGACTTTTCACTAGACCAGGGTGCTCTTAGCAGCAACCCGGCCTTGGACACTTCCAAGGATCCAGAGGAAGCCACAGTTTCTCTGGGCAAGCTGTGCCAGGGCCTCATAAAGTTCATAGGGAAGAATTTCTTCCCACCATCCCATCTAACCCTCCCCTCTATCAGTGGGAAGCCATTCCTCCTTGTCTTGTTACTCCAGCCCCTTGTCTGAAGTCCTTCTCCAGCTCTCTTGGAGCCTCTTTACACAGAGGAAAAGGCTCTAAGGTCTGCCTAGAGCCTTCTCCAGCTGAACACCTCCAGTTCTCCCGGCCTGGCTCCAGAGCAGAGGGACTCCAGCTCTCAGAGCATCTCTGACTCTGCATTTACTCAATCCCAGCCACAGCCTCATGTGAGCACACGGAGTTCTGGAGTTTGCGCCAAAGCTGGTATTATTCAGCAATTTTAGATCTGGCATCAACATTCACAGGAACATTCAGCCAAAGCAGAGTGCAACAACCAGTCGCGCACAAAGGGAGCCAGCTCTACAGACCCCATTCCAAATTCCAGCTCCTTTCAGGCATTAATCACTCTTGCAATCACTTTTATTTGTGCAATAAATTGGCACAAGTCCTGCCAGCTTTAGTGTTCAGGTTGGTTTATTTCCTCAGAACAAAAATATCAAACTTTTTTTAAGAACAACCTGTGTAAATAGAAAACTTCATAGCATCCGCCTCCCGTTTAGAAATTCCCTGAAAGCAGCCTGGAATCTATCTGCAAGAGGCAGGACATCAGGAAAGAGTTTTCTTCAAACAGTGTGCATGGGAGAAGAGAAGGAATTTTCACAGACCCATTCCTCTCTCCAACAGCATGGATTTAATTATTCTGGAAACTGCCTGAAAACACAGCAAACAAACCAAACTTCAGGAAAATCAGGTTGTGTATAAACACTGAACCTTCACTTCAGTCTCTTGAAGTAAGACAGTGCTTCTGCCCCTTTTCTGAAAACTTGTGATGCCGAGGTCTCCATGTGCCAAAAGGTGGACAGCTGCAACAGTCCTAGGATGACAAAGTATCACAGTCAGTGTTTCCCCAGCATCACCTGCACAGTTTATTGAATTTCAGCTCTCAATGATCCATGGTTACCAGCACACACCTCCAGTGGCCCTGAAAGAAACACCTAGAATTCCACAGATTAGCACAAGTGGAACAAACACAGTGAAATCCCCTTAAAATCCATTCAACATCCTCTTGAAAGACTTGGAGAAAACAGAGTATTAAGAGACAAAAGCTAAAACCGAGCCTGGCCCCCTCAGGGAAACCCCCAGAGTACTCCTTGGGCCACTTCCCTTCCTACACAGGGTCATCCATGCTTCCCACCATTTACACTTTTCCTGGTTCTGGGAAACTGAAGCCTGGATACTTACTCTGCCTTTGGGAGAAAGGTGAATCTTGTATGAAACACAGGAATTTCTCCTCAACCCAGATTCCTATTATTTCTCCCTGTATTTCCGTGCTCCCAGCTCCTTCCTGTTGCAGGACAGGAGCACTAGAAGGCTTGGCTATCTGGCTGCATCCCAGCAATGGATCACAGAGCACCCCCAGCGCTTTGGGCAATTGTTTACCTCAGCCCATCACTCGCAGTTGGGTCCTTGACAATCTTGAAGCCTTGGCAAGGGAAATGACAATTTCCACATCCAGCAAAACCTCTTTATTTCATCTCAGCTTCCACCCATACCTCCCCTTCTTTAGGGTAACCAGAAGGAAATCTGTATCTTGGTGCAGCATCAGGAGAACCAGGACTGTTTTTAAGTGGTGATTCCTCCCTCCTCAGCTCTAAATTTGAAAGGGAAACCTCTCTGGTCACTGATCAGGACTTGGCTCACCTACCTCACCTTCTAACGGCTTCACTGACCTTGTTGCCAAAAGCTCACCTGCTCCTCCAGTGCCCCTCCCAGGTGGGCTTTCCCTCTGCTCCTGCAGAAGCAGCACCTTCCCCTCCCTAGTGCTCAGACAGAATCAGCACCTTCCCCTGTATCTGGTGCCACAGGTCACATCCTGCTGTTCTTGATGTAGCTGCAAGTGGCTCCTCTCAAATACCAACACAGAAAAACTCCTACTGGAAGTATTTCCCCAATTTGTGAGCACAAAAGACACCAAAATACTGTTGGAACATAAGTCTTGTCCCTCTCTCATCCATAGGATCACCAGCAGAAGGAAAAATAGAATAAGTGAAAACCCAAGAAAATCCTTAGAAACCTTTCCCCAGAACAAACCAGTATCTGTCTCCTACAGGAGCTCAGAGTAGCAAAGGATCCCATCCAAAAGGTGCATGACCTGCTCACAGCTCAGAGATACCAGGAGCCCAAACCTATTTTTATACTCTTCCAGCATGCTACCACAGCTGGCACAGCCAGCTCAGCTGCAGTGGCCATTCCAGCACATGTAAATCAAATTACTGGTAGCAAAATAGGAAAGCCTATTCCTTAGAGGATATTGAGTTACAGGCTGCTAACCAGGAGGCAAAAAAACCCCCAAGAACTGTGAGGGAAATAGCTTCTTTATAGACTAAAAGAGGAGAAGATGAAGCATCACATGATGCTCAAAATGCACACCTCATTCATTGTACATCCTTGAAGGGCCCCACAGGATCACGGGACAACTGGGGCTTTGAGGAACATCAAGACTTTCCAGCCCACCCCCAATGACTCATCTCCCTCTGATGACCCTGGAGCATCAGTCCATGGGCTCAGAGCCCACAGAACCCATGACAAAGGGCCACCCTGCCAGAAAACCGGGTCTGAGTCAGTACAATGCGCCTCTTACAAGGGCTGTCCCAAATTTAAAGTTTGGGATAATAAAAGCACAAAAGAGTTGAGGAACTTTTAATACTGTCAGAAACACAGGAGTGAGACTTCCAGCCTACTACAAACTGGGAGTCAGTGCACTCACCAAATCCCATGTTACAGCCTTGTTTAATAGGTCCCCTTGTACTGCCAAACATTCCAAAACTCTGGGGCTACACGAGGTTCCTGACACACAAGGTATCAGTTGTCAATCCAGGCTAGCAGCACTTCCCAGGAAAAGGAGGAAAGGAAATCCATAAAGAAGGAAAATGACTGAAGAACACTTCAGCTGATCTCCTCTTTGAAAATGAATCAGAGAGAGAAACACCTAAATAATTTCTCCAGTTCACAGCAGAAAGTTCTTTCAACCAGGAGAAGGAAAGAAAGGCTTCAAGTGGGAAAAAGGAATCCTTATTCTTGATGTGCTACAGTGTTCTCTGCATTGTTAAACTAAAGCATCCTTGCTCCTCCTAAAATACAACTAACTTCCATTCTGCTCCTTATCAGTCTAATCCCATCCCCACGAAGCAGTTCCTTCACATGTTCCCAACAGGAATACTTCAAAGCTGATCACTGGGTGTTCCATCAGTTGTTAGCTGGGGTTTGGGGTGTCTAATTTGGAGCGAGCCTACAGCTAACTGAGGCTTCTTGTACACCAGGAAAATAAAGGATCAGACCAAGAGGTTTTTGGTTTCATGGCTGCTAATTGAAGTAATAAAGTCTTTACATGCAGCTAATTAAAAAAAAAAAATTCAAACTGAAATCCTAAAGCCATTTCAGGGAGTGTTTGATCAGTTTGTCTCTTTCATTTCCACCAAATGGCTCCACAATCAGAAGAGAAGTGGACGGGAATCACAGGACCCAGCAGACACAGTAGCTGGATGAAGTTCAAGACCAGTGCTGCTCCTGGATGGAGGAGAAGAGCACACTCCAAGCAGAAGCCTGCTCCAAGATTTGTTTCCTTCGCTACAGCAGGTTGGCAGCAACTCGGCCATGAAATCCAGCAAGGCACATTCAGATTTCACAGGTCACACACAAGCCTGTTGGTCTCAGCTATTTTAGCTCATCCTTTGGAACTACAAAGTTGATCATCAACTCATAGGGAGTAACACACCAGGTCACAGGTCTTTTATAATCATAATTATGATGTAATTATATCATCTTTACTCTGCATTAAAGCCACAATTAACAGTTAATGCTTAAGTAAGACTTTACAATTTGTTTAAGCTGCTTTTCTGCATAAAAAACTGCAGGTGCATCTTCTGCAGCTCCCCCTTTCCTGCCTCCATCTCTAGAAGAGCTATAGGGAGGCACCAAACACAGCAGATAAAGTTCCTGTCAAAACACGAGGAAACTGGAAGACTCAGAATTGTGCACTTAAACATTGCTCCTGCCAGTTCAGCCCTCACTGCCTCCCATGCTTTGAGGCAGTAGCTCCCAGAGTGCTGCACTGGGATAACCCTCAGTGAGAAGAGTGCTCCTCAAGGCAAGAATCCAAGAAATCAGGTTGGTGGTGGCAGTCTAGAAAGCTTTCACATCTCAGAAAAGTGACCTCAAAGGATATTCATAGAAATGCAGCCTCCTCTCTTAGGGGAAACAGAACACCTCCTCTTCAATGCTTCTGTTCGGATCTAAATGGGATTTACAACTGAGCATGGAGAAGAAAGGAAGGGAAGTTGTGACTCAGTAGCCAGAAGGATAAAGCACATCCTAACACCGCAGCTCCACATGAGCCTGGCTGGGAAAGCAGAGGTTATGTGCACACATCAGCAAAGAGCCAAAACCGTGAACAGCAACTGCCTAAGCAGTGCTCTTCACTCAGAGCCTGACCAGTCCCACAGGCACCGACACTCTGGAGAAAAACCACTGCGACCACGAGGGAACAATCTCAGGGGCTCCACGAGAGGTCCCTGACAGGCTGCAGTGCTCTGGAGTACTGAAATGAAATTCCAGCAGCACCAGGGTGCTCTCAGCAGCTGACAACATTATGTTCTGGGCAATCACCCTGACACCAGGAGAGGAACAGCTATTTACAACACCAGCCTGTCCTGATTTATCTGGGCATAAGGCATTGCCATCCTAGGGAGCTTTCTCTGAGCAGGTGACATGCCTTAGGGAGAAAATTCCCTAATTAAGGGACCATTTATATGCTCTTTGTGGAAGTGGCTCTGCAGTCAGCCATGCCCTCCTCTTTTCTTTGTAAGTGTTCTTTAGCGATGTCCAGCTGTGAGGGCTTCAAGTGGCCACTCCAGTGGCTGAGGTGGTTGTGGATATATTCTCAGAGCATGGCAGCACACAAGCATAGACACTCACCCTTCCCACATCCAAAGTCAGAGCCCCATCACAGATGCCCAAACCCACGGAGGAAAGTGGAAGGAACAGATATACTGCTCGTCTTTTCTAGAGCCAAGCCACATAAACGTCAACTGCCATCTCAAGATCTGCACTTACACACATTTTTAACTCAGGACACTTTTTCCAAGTCAATTTACCAAGATTCTCAGCTCTGCAAAAGATTCACAGTGAGTTCCAAGAGCTGCGTGTATGCTAGACAGACACGGTGTAGCAGGAGGAATTCTCCAGAGATCTGTAACAAGTCTTGACTCCAAAGGCCCTGAATGCTGATGACATGCACTACCATCCCAAACCTAAAGTGATAGAAGGAAGAGCTGTGAAGTTTGCTTAGATCTGGGATAAGACAAGGATACATAAAGCAAAAAGAAAGACCATAAAGCAGAGCTCTTGCCCAAGCACACCTTTAAAAAGGCAACCCAAACCCTTAAAACAGCACCCAGCCAAAGCAACAACAGTTCTTGTTCAGGGAGCAAGAGGTCCCATAAGAGGAACGATTATGGGAAGGTGAAAGAAGTGATGAACTCTTCAACACACACTTCTGGCTCAGGAAGGACTTCACCCAGCAAGTGGGGGCTGAAACTGATCCTCAGAGCAGCTCCCAGTCCTTCACGTGCTCAGATAACCTCTATGACAATAATGTTCAGCATTCTATGGAATCAACAGCCCCTGATAAAGCAGGGTGGGCTGCACAAGAGGCACATTAAGGTCATGCCTATCCTTACTGGAAATAACTCTTGAGCTCTGCAAACCAACTCTCAACAGTGCCAAGACACTCCCTGCATTTGAAGCAAAAAGACTTTCCAAAAGCTCATTCCCTAAATATGGAGCCTTCATGGGGACTTCCCGGTGCTGACAGCC